GGGGTGAAGAATTAAAAAACACTCGACGAAAGTTTGTCACAGCGACCGCCAAGCTGTTTGGGATCCTCAGAGACTTTACGCGAGAATTCTCTCAATCAAACAAATGAGCACTCTTGCGCCTTTGGCCTTCCATACTTAGGGGGCGATTTGGTTATTATTTAGAAGTCTTCCGGTCCCATTTCTTGTTGCCGTCTCCCTTTCTGCCTATTGCTCACTGGACAGCTCTCCATATATGTATATGTATATATCGTCGTGGCAAATTGAACTGCCTGGTGAACGTCTGGCAGAGAGGGAGAAATGGACAAGAAGCAAGGCGGTGTGAATTTCGCATTTGGTTTGGCATGTTGTCACTCCTCCCCGTTGCTGCATCTTTCCCCTCTCTCTGTTCCATGGACCCAAATTGATGCCTGCTATATTGCATCTCCCTTTGGGTCTTCTGCTGCTCCATCGTCGTTCATGATGCCTACTATATTCCACAGCCCATCCCCTATGCCCTTCGTTGTGGCTGTATTTGCTCCGCGTCTTGAAGGTAGCGTGGTGATTGGCTAAGCACAATTAATTTGTAGTCTATTGAATTCGAGTTATACACCGCAAGGGTCCTTCGGGACATCTGTTAAAATTGGAACGATACAGAGAAGAATAGCATGGCCCCTGCGCGAGGATGACGCACATAAATCAAGAAATGGTCCAAATTAAAAGTTATCCACTGCATGGGGGTGGGCCACAGACACCCACACACCGGGGGTAGAGGGGGAGAGAGAGAGAGAGAGAGAGAGAGAGAGAGAGAGAGAGAGAGACCTCAATCCAACCAACAACGACCCCCCCTCCCCCTTTCCCCCCAAGACACGATCAAGTGTAGTATCTGTTCTGATCAGTTTCATATCTGATCCATGGTCCATCAGGACTCCAGAGAGAGAGAGAGAGAGACTTATCAAATGTAGAATCCGTTCCGATCCGTTTTCAGATGTTATCTGTGGTCCATGGGGACCCTTTTTTTTTCAAAAAAAGAAAGAAAAAATTGCACGTGCGCGTGTGTGTCCATCCGAACCAATTGTAGAAAGCAAAAAGTTAAACGGAAAAATAAGCTGTGTTAAACTCCGGGCCGCCCGACGGCCCAGCCTCCGTCTGGCAGGGGTCCAGGGCGGCCCGGCCGGTTGGGTCCCCCGGTTTGACGCCGGGCGGGCCCAGCGCATTTTTGCGCGGGGGGCGGGGAGGCCTTTTTCGATGCTTTTTCGTGCTTGGGAGCCTCCCTGACCCCCCTGCGCAAATTATTCCGCTGATTCCACATTTGGTCGGGCGGCCTTCAAATTCGAACGTGAGTTCGTGCTGCCCGCCGAGGAGGTTCCCACCGCTGCCCACCGAAGAGGTTCCCGTCACTGCCCGCCTTCGCCGAGCTGCCCGTCGTCGATGCCCGCCACCGCTGCCCGTTTCCCAGCTCGTCGTTGCTGGCCGCCGTTGGAAAGCTGCCCCGTCGTGCCACATGTCAGGCTCTCTCTCTCTCTGTGTCTCTCTCCTCCTCCAACTCCTCCGTCATCTTTTTTTTTTTTTTTTTCCTTTTTCGGTGACGTATCACGAAACCGGCAGGTCCTTCTCCTCCTCCTCCTCCTCCTCCCTTCGTCTTCTTCTCTCCTCGTCCTCCTTTCTCCTCCTCCACCCTATTTCATTGGTTTTCTTCATCGGGCGAAGTGCCAGGTTTCAGGCTCTCTCTCTCTCTCTCTCTCTCTCTCTCTCTCTCTCTCCTCCTCGTTCCCCCTCCCTGCCTTCTTCTCTCCTCCTCCTCCCCCCCCTCCTTTGTCTTCTTCTCTCCTCCTCCTCCTCCCCCTCCCTTCGTCTTCTTCTCCCCTCCTTTCTCCTCCTCCTCCCTATTTCGTTGGTTTTCTTTATCGGGCGAAGTGCCACGTGTCAGTCTCTCTCTCTCTCTCTCTCTCTCCTCCTCCTCCTTCGTCATCCTTTTTTTTTTCTGTTTCGTCGACGTATCACGAAACCGGCAGGTCCTCCTCGTCCTCCTCCCTTCGTCTTCTTCTCTCGTCCTCCGTATTTCATTGGCTTTCTTCATCGGGCGAAGTGCCACGTGTCAGGCTCTCTCTCTCTCTCTCTCTCTCTCTCCTTCTCCTCCTCTCCTCCTCCTCCCCCCTCTTCTCTCCTCCTCCTCCTCCCCCTCCCTTCGTCTTCTTCTCTCCTCCTCTTCCTCCTTCGTCATCCTTTTTTTTTTCTCCTCCTCCTCCCCCTCCCTTCGCTTCTTCTCTCCTCCTCCTCCTCTTCCTCCTTCGTCATCTTTTTTGTCTTTTTTCTTTTTTACCCGTCAATGCAACTCACAATCGGCGGGTCGTCGTCGTCCTCCTCCTCCTCCTTTCATCTTCTTGTCTCCTCCTCCTCTCTCTCCTCCTCCCCCTCCCTTCGCCTTCTTCTTTCCTCCTCCTCCTCCCCCTCCCTTCGTCTTCTTCTTGCCTCCTCCTCCTCCTTTCTCCTCCTCCTCCCTAAGTCTTCTTCTTCTTCTTCTTCTACTACTACTACTACTACTACTACTTCTCCTTCTAAGTCTTCTTCTTCTTCTCCTTGTAATTCTTCTTCTTCTTCTCTTCTTCTTCTTCTTCCGATATTTGAACTTTCTTTTTTCCCTCGCTGGTGGTCCTTGCATCCTCAACTTCCACGGCACAATGGGGGCGGTGCCAGCGACATTGGAGGGGGGAGTGGCGGGTCTGGACGGAGGAGGGGCAAAACGGCAGAAGAAACAGGAAAAGGCTGCTACAACACACCCTTTAACCCCCTTGTCAAATCCCCCCTCCACCTCCCCTCCACCCCCCCGCCCCCATCCTCTACTTCCACGGCACAATGGCGGGCGGTGCCAGCGACATTGGAGGGGGGAGTGGCAGGTCTGGACGGAGGAGGGGCAAAACGGCAGAAGAAACAGGAAAAGGCTGCTACAACACACCCTTTAACCCCCTTGTCAAATCCCCCCTCCACCTCAACTCCACCTCCCCTCCACCCCCCCCCCACAACACACACACACACACGACTTTCACAAGTTTCTCTGCGGATTCGGGCTCCTCTCAGCGAGCGCACTCCAACCCCATCTTCAAAAAAATAAATAAAAAATTGCTGGGATGTTTTTTGGCTCGTCTGGTTTTGCCGGACGGACCCCCCCCCCGTCCGTCTGGGCCGGGCGTCGGCCTAACCCAGCTAAAAACCATTATGAATTCTCTTTTTTTTTTAAGGAGCTTTTGATGATTGATCTCTCAAAGCCAAAGCAATCTAATATACTTGGAAAAAGCAAAGGCTGTAGGCTCGCTAGCTAGAGAAAGATTAATCACTACAGATGATGAGGAAGTATTGGAGGAAGGTGCAATGACTTGCTGTTTTCTGGTTGCCTGTAGCCTCTCTCTGTCGAGGCTGTACCGTAGGTAGGGTAGATTCGTAATTTTGTGTGGCTGAGGGCTAACCGAGAGACCTGCCTGTAGTGGAAATTTGTGAGGGACATACGTACAAATTTGGGAAAAATACCGGCCTAACACTAACTGAATTTCCTACTACTACCCTAACTGCGAATAGCAGGCCCGGGCTACCCCTAGGACAGACAGGCCCTAAGGGCCTATGCTGATAGATGGTCCTATAGCCTATAGCCGGGTAAGGGAGAGGCCGAAAGGCCGAAACTGAATCGGTACCGGTCAGTCAGTCAGTCCGGTCTAGGTCGAGTCTAGGCTAGTTGTAGTCTATAGATAGAATGGGCACATCGGTTCAGGGCTTTTGGCAGTTGGTACCGAGTACATCGCTGCTGCGCTACGCGTGAACCGGAAGTGGTGACGGCTCAGCGTGGAAGGGGACAGGCAAAGCCAGACCTTCGGAGCGCCGGCCATACTGGGACCTGCGCTGTACTCTGCCAGCACGCAGGGGCTGACAGAGGTCTGGGCTATCGAGGTCTGCTGGAGGCGAGAGAAGTTGGTGCCCTGCTGGACCCTCCTCCGGAGTGGGCTTCCAGGGTGGTGGCGCTGCAGCCATAGCTGCAGCTTCTTCCTCAGAGGTCATCTTGTCAGGGTTTGGGGGCGCTGCGGAAGACTTCCATCCGGGAAGTCTACCGACACTTCGTCATCATCAGATACTGTGGCGCTGGTCTTCTTCTTCATCCTCTGAGTGGCGCTTGGCCTCAGAGGCCTGTTTCAGGGTGGCGCTTCCCTTTGGAGGCTGTATCTGGGTGGCGCTTGATGTTTCAAGGGCTCCGGGCTGTTACGAGTGGCTAATCAGGGTTGGGGAGTGAAGCGCTGCTCATTTTTTTGCAGTGCACTGTAGTACTGAGGTTATCCTGACAATTCGAGACTCTGAGTTTAATAAACAGTGTGTAACTGGGTTTGGACTATCATCGTTTCATTGTTTCCTGGATGTGATCTGCTCGGCTTTTCTTTATGACTGGTTGTGAGGATTGAGTGGAGTGAATTGCACTTTCAGTGTACCCTGTCATATCGCATGGTCACGTCTTCCGCTGTGTTTCTCTCTCCCTGTGCGGTGTGATACTCCTATCCTCTCCCCTTCCTTCTGTGTACGTATGGGCATACTTGGAAGTCTATGCGAGTGAGTGTTGGTCTTCAGACAGCACACAACCAGAATCATAACATAGGGGAAGAGGAAGAAGAAGAGACAGATGACTGAGAGGATGCTGCAATAGAGGACGTCGGTGGGGGTGGCGGTAATGATGGTGGTGGTGCTGCTGCTGATGATGGCAGTGATGGCGGTGGTGGTGGCGGTGTGGGTGGTGGTGGAGGCGGTGGTGGCAGCAGTGGCAGTGGAGGAGGTATGCTTTCCGCAGCAGCAGCAACAGTCGCCCGTATTGGTAGGATGCTGAACTCCATCCCTTACAGCCACTTCGATAACGTTTACATTGTTTACTGTGGCTGGCATGGTCTCTGGCTGAGTTGGCGTATCCACATTAGCATCTACCATTTCAGCAGGGATAACAGGAAGGGCAGGCCGGCTGCGTTTGACTGTGCGGAGAGCTGATGCTGCCTGCTGTCAATATTGGTGGCAGGCGGTCTTGTGTGCGGTTGGGTGGAGGACCTGCGCACAGAATCAGGTTTTGGGAGCGGGTGAGCAATTGCCCAGCGAACCATGCAGCGAAACCAGTTCGAAAGTCGTGTGACATGAGTTGGTAGCCAGCGCTGCCGACCACACACATATGCAGTCCAGCCTCTAGCCAGGACACTGGGAGGATGGCCCCTGATAAGCATACGTCGTGTCAGGGAAGTCACTGCCGCTTTGAAGTCGGTGGTATTGTTAAATATATGTTCGAATCTCGTTAGTTGTCCCGTGAGCACACCTGCAGGCCGATGAACCGGGGCCTTGGGATAATGTATGGCAGGGAACGTCCAGGCCTCGGCCGTATCAACCACGCGAATGCAAAGTGAGCCATCAGGCTGAACCATGATTCTTGCCCCAAGGAAAAGACATGACCCATCTTGCTCAGTAGTGTCTTTCCACTCGAGATCATACCGAGCAGGAGACAGCGGGGAACGTCTTCCAGGATAGAATGTCATCAATGAATCGGTATGCGAATGCATATGCTTACCCAGCACACAGATCTCGTTAATGAAGATCATCGATGAACTGTGCTTCCTCTTAATAAAGCGTGCGGTTGGCAATTTCTGGTCCGGCGTTAGTGCCCATAGGGATACTGACCATCTGGTGGCGCAGAGTGCCATCCCCTGTGTGTGTGTGTGTGTGTGTGNACCCCATCTTCAAAAAAAAAAAAAAAAAATTCCTGGGATGTTTTTTGGCTCGTCTGGTTTTGCCGGACGGACCCCCCCCCGTCCGTCTGGGCCGGGCGTCAGCCTAACCCAGAAAAAAAGACAGTTTTTCCAAGGCTTTCTGATGTCCAGCAGCAATACATCTACTGAGTCAACAGGAGTACACAGGTGAGCTAAATCCCCCCGGACCCTGCCCCCCCCTCCCACAAATCCCCGCTTTCACGTTTTTGCTCTTTGCCCTCCATTTTTTTCGAGCGAAGCCGCAACAGGTACCCTTGTGTTTGTTTGTTTGTTTTGTAAGTAATGGCCTACTAATGGGAATATTGCGCACCCATGTCTTGTGACTTGCAGATTTTAAGAATCATCAGCTTCCTTTAGCGAGAATCAAGAAGATTATGAAGTCGGATGAGGATGTTAGGGTATGTTTTGAACTTAGTCCATTGGTCTCTCCCTCTCTGTCTCCCTTCCCCCCTCCCCCCTCCCCCCTCCCCCCGTTGTCTCCCTCTCTCTCTCTCTCTCCCTCTCTCTCTCCATTTCTCTCGTCTCATGGACTACCTCTATCCCTCTCTGACTATATCTTGTCGTCACATTGTCTTTATTTCTCTTTGGTATGTGTGCTCATTCTTTTCCTTCCTCTCTCTCTCTCTCTCTCTCTCTCTCTCTCTCTCTCTCTCTCTCTCTCTCTCTCTCTCTCTTTTCCTTCAAGCTCGGTATGTGGAATGGTAGTTAGGGGTGAGTTGGCTTGAATTTTTTCTGTTTATTTATTTAAAATTTTAACTGTAGGATCCCTAAGATGGAAGGCCCGTGAGCCATGAATCATGGCCTGGATTGAGATGCTCTTGCTTGGTTTGTGTATGTCGTTTTTCCCCCGGGGTGCTGAATGGCTGGGGGATTTTTTGTTTTGTTTTTGTTTTGAAACAGCCTCCGGGCCTGACAGAGCTGCTGATACGAGCAGACACCCCTGTCCTGGGTGTCCTCCCTGTGGCAGGCCTCACGCTATTGGTGGGTAGCAACACGTTGTGGCTGCTACCCTTAGCCTGCTACACTAGCATACTCCCTCCTTTTGTTTTCGTCATAATGGATGAGCAAACAACGACCTGACCTGCTTTTTGGTGCCCCCTACTTTTTACATCCTTCTACCAAAGAAGGGTGCCAGTTTATTTTTTATTTAGTTAGTAATCGTTCCTGGACCGAAGGAGCTGTGTTCCTCATGGGACCTGAATTCACTGCAAAACTAAGACATTGGGTGGAGGGTGCAGATAAAAATGTCTTCAATGAAAAGCCGTTTCGGAGACTCTGAGGTGGATGTGTACTGCCTATATAAATGTTCTGGCCTCAGAGTGTGCTGTTGTTGCTCTCAGGTGGATGTGTACCGCCTTACATATGCATGCTCTCTCTCTCTCTCTCTCTCAGACACCACACACACCCACACACACACATGCACACACACACATGCACACACACACACACAAAGAGTCTGGAAGTGTGCTGTTGTCGCTTTGATGGGTGGTCTGACTGGAACGTAACCGCGGAACAGAATGAAAAATGTAGGAAGGAAGGAAAAGGAACAGAAAGACCGACCCCCCCCAAAAAAAGAAGCTTTGTAGTTTGCTAAAGGAAAAGGAACAGAAAGACGGACCCCCCCCCCCAAAAAAAAAAGAAGCTTTGTAGTTTGTTAAAACTTGAAATTTTAAATCTAGTGAGCACTCGTACATCGAACGTGAGCATAAAAAAAATAAAATGTAAAACCAAAATGGGGCTCAACTTGTGCATGGATCACTATTGTCTGGAATATCCCGTGCTACCGTGGCTGGTCGGTGTTTTCTGCTTGCTGGGTCCTAGATGTTAACGTCTTTCTGTTCGATCTTTTATGTTGGTGGACATGGTTGACGAAGTTCCCCTGTGGCACTCAGTTTTGCGGTTTGTGGTTGTCTTTCTGGCTGCTTTTTTGTTTGGTAATCCACTTTTGGTTACGTGTGGTGCTTCGTGCTGGTGGCGCTAATCATCTCAGATGATTAGTGCCGAGGCTCCCGTGCTGTTTGCAAAAGCGTGTGAAATGTTCATTTTAGAGCTTACGTTAAGGTCGTGGATACATACGGAAGAGAATAAGAGGCGAACACTCCAGAGGAACGACATTGCTCATGCGATCACGAAGACGGACATCTTCGATTTCCTTGTGGATATTGTGCCTCGTGACGACATCAAGGTTTGTGTATTGCGCATGCCGATTTCCTTGTCGATACGGTTCTCAAGCTGTTAGTTTATCAACGACTTTTGACATTTGCTCGTCTTCTGAGCGGGAAAAAGATGGGATCTCTTTTTTTAGTATCTAACCTTCTCCGCATTGTTCCAATGTTAAAGGATGTGACAAAGGACGTCGAAGATCAAACCCTTTCGTTGACTGTATCATCTTTTTGAGACCGGTAGGGAAGAGTGATGTTTGTTGTTTAGAGTCTTTAGACGCTGTAAAGATTGTTGAACATTTGGACCCTCTGTACTTCCATATTGGGAAATTTTTGCGGGTGGAGCGGTCGCCTCTTTGCTGTGAGGAGGAGGTTTGCTGTCACATTTTTTGGTTTAATGACTTGGCAAGAATGCAGTATGCCTTGTTGGGTTGCAGCAGGCTGATCTTCACCTGGTCCGGAATTATGGCGCGGGTTCGTGTGCAGAAGCTGATCTGTACGTGGTCCACAATGATTTGGTGTTTGCTCTGTGTACATGCTGTCGTTTCCTTCCAGGAGGAGGGTCTATCTGTTTCTCGACCACCAGTACCGTTGCCTCCTGCAGGGGATTCGCTCGCGTATCCGGGGATGTACTATATGCAGCCACAGCCTGCAGCAGCCCCACAGCAGCCCCAACAAATGATGCAGGCACCGGTAAGAGTCTCGTTTTCCATACATCTCTTGCCCATGTGGTTACCTACGTCAATGGCGGTGTAATAGGAACAGGGGACGGTGTGGTAGTGGTGATGATGGGCACTGGAGGGTATATGCCTATAGGTCTAGGATGGATCTATGGTGTTTGTGGTGAGTACCTCGTTCACGTTAAACCACCAGTACCTCCGAGCCTCTTATTCCCAACGAAGGATTTGCACTGCATGCCAACGAAAAACGAACAGCCAGCGGTGCAGTGCCTTCCTTTTTTTGTGCTGGTGGCGCCGGGCATTCCGGTGCGGTAGCACTGTTCATCATCAAGAACCCGAATGGATACAATTTCGATCCTCAAGGTTACCTGGCGGGCGGTTCAAGTTGCTTCTGGTGGTGCTAGGCACGAGGCGGCGATGCGGGCAGGCAGGCTGTTTGGCCGTGGGCGCAGGATGCGTCTCCCTGTTTCGAGAAATGAGTGTTAGGTCTGTCTTTTCCGTGACCGGGAATGGTTGTCTGGGATTTCTTTTGCTGTTCGTGCATTTCAACTTTCAAATCAGGTGTTGGTTGGACCGCGCAACTTGTAGCGAGCGGTGTTTGGCAGCAGAAGGCCCTCTCCTCCGCATTGAATCGCGTGGTATTGGATGGAAATCATTTTCGGTCGCTGCGGGATCATGCGGATCCCCTTTCGTTACGTCACACCAATCCCCAGGTCTCTCTCTCTGCCTATTCCACACCATCCGCAGACGTATATCCCTCTGTATGGTGAACTTACACACTACTTTGTGGGTTGTGTGCTTGGCCTTTGACTACCATCTTCTCGCATGGTTCTTGTGAAGCCAGTAATAACAGAGCTTGACAAGAAGCACCATTCCACTCAATGGTCACCCAGTGCTCACCATGATGGAGAGTGGTGGTGGGGTATTCACCATCAGTCATTACAACCAGGGGACTCTTGCTGCCAACCTGGCAGTTACCCTGTGGCTGACCCTGTGGCAATTGCCTGGTGGGTATGATCAGTCAGCTGTCCGTTTTCATGGGTGACGTGGTGGCGACCATGGAATATTGCAGCATGGCTAGAGGGGGTTGGGATGTCTTAAGGGGTTGGTAATTGGTTCCCTGAAGAGGGGCTAGAACTGTGGCGACTGGTGTGGGTCCTCGATGCCTTAGAGATAGCCGATAGGAGAAGGAGACCTTTGAGTCCCGAATGCAGTCTTTATCTTGGAAATAGTCCAAAAGCTAATCCGTAGTTTGGTCCTCTATCCTATTGATTGAGCTACAAGCACATTGATTCGTCCCTTTCAGCTAGGGGTATAGGCATTTGCACCGGCTCGCATACAATGAATTAGCTGAGCACTGTGTGTGGTCTCTCCTTCGTCCTTTTTTATGCCTTGCGGTGCTTGCACCTTCAAGTTCACCTTTCCACTCTCTCCGTCTCTCGCTCTCTCTCTCTCTCCCCCTTTCGTCTTTTCTATTATGTTCCCAGTGCTCTTTCAAGAGAGTGAAGTCCATTGATGTGAGGTCTTTCATTGCTCCCAACAGACTGTGTAGCGGGTGGATAAGCTTAATTGTGAAAAAGAGCGGTGAAGCGGAGCGCTCGCAATGCTACGAGAAATGGTCTGTCGTTGTGTGCTTTTCTCCTTCACAACCCAAGCTTGAGCACATGTTCTTGTTCGAGTTTGCGACTTAATTGCTCTTCCCCCCCCGTTTCCTCCCCCCCCCCCCCCCCCCTCCCCCTTTCTTTTTTTTCTCCCCACCATTCCAGCAGCTTCTGAAAGTAGCCAAAATTTTCGTCAAAGGTTAGCAGCTGTAAATTGAATCAACAGAAATGCTTCCATTCTAATAGTAGCTAATTGTGCACTCTTGTTTTTGCAGCAGTTCGGTTGGGGGTGTGATTCGCCGGGTGTCCCTGAGTCTCAAATTGAGAGTAACGGGTTCTGCTTTCCGGTCCGTTTGCACCGTTTACTTGCCGCTATACTTGCTCTTCTCTTGTTCATTGGAAATGCCGACTTCGGCTCCTTTTTCTGTACGTATGTTCATCTGTAAGTCCAAGGGACGGTAGCCATTTATGCTCCGGATTAGTAGCGAGAGTCAAATGAAAATCCGGCCGTTGCGAGCATGCCTGTTTAGTTTTACCTCTTCCTTTCTCTTTATGGTGAGTCTACGATTGGGGACATGTTGATACTAAATAATAAATATATATGATATATATTTCTATGCGACCATAATAGGTCTTTATAGAAAATTAAAGGGGTGGGGGGGGAATGTTGCGGCCGATGATTTGGATTTCTTTCCTGGCTCGCTTTTCATTTGTCTCTTCCTCCATCCATTGAGTTTATGGTGTGTTTGTGTTTGGAAGTCTGGATGCATTTTCTGCCAACTGGTGCGCCTTGGAGCGCCCCCCTGCTTAGAGATGCCTTGCGTCTGTTTTTTGTTGTTTTTGTTTTCGTTTCTTCTTTTTCAAGGGGGTTGCTGTGGCCATTGCAACCATCTGATTATGTCACGATTTGAACTCATGATCCATTCATCAACAGTTAGGGTATTATGTATATTATGACCGCTTTTCCAACCCGGCCAGAATGCTCCTGCTGTGAGTATGCCTGCCTGTGCATCTGTTGTTGGCTGTTGAAATCTTGCCGATGTTTCGCTTGTTTCTGACCGAGTTGACCCTAAATTGATTGCAGGCGATGATGGTTGGGCGGCCTGCAATGCCGATGGATCCATCCATGATGTATCAACAAGCACAGGTGCGTTGTGCTGTCATTTGCAAAAGAAACATGCCAAGTTTTTGCACAAGTATTACCGAGTTACTGTCAGACTGTGTGTGCATGTGTGTGTGTGTGTGCATGTGTGTGTGCGTGTGTGTGTGCGTGTGTGTGTGCGTGTGTGTGTGTGTGTGTGTGTGTGTGTGTGTGTGTGTGTGTGTGTGTGTTATACTAATCGTGTGCCTATCGAGGATGCAATGCGGGCTTGGAAGGAAAAGAATCTCAACAATCCTATGGCCCAATGCAGAAACTGTGCGGTCTTGTGGAATCGGGAGGATTGAAATACGCTGGCGGTTTAAACCATCAGTAGATCAGAGACGCTCTTTTTTGGATGTGAAATGTTGCCTTGGCCTAAAGAAAAGCTGTTGTGGGTGGGATTTTGCCTGGTTCCCGGAGTCTTTTGTTTTCCCTATGGAGCTTCCGCTATGCCTCCCTGTATTTTGTTGCGGGGCAGCTGTTAATTCATTGTGCCCTTGGGGGCTCAGCCTATCGGAGCCATCCAAACCGGGAGAATGAATAGCACCATGCCAAATTGTTTGCTTTTCGGGTTGCAGCACAAATTTACCCTGTTGGGAGAAAGAGGCTTGGACGTAGTGGTTGTTTGAAGTTTAAACCTCCACTGCCTCTGAGGCTGTTTGTGCTGAGGAGGATTCCCCCTGTGCGCCAAGCATGACCAAAGTGCCAGCGTGGTGTTTTGTTAAAATTTGTTTTTTCTCTTGGCTGGTGCCGCCAGCCATCGGGGTCCGGTAGCCCTGGGCCTCCGAAGAACCTGGAGTGTTACGTTTTTGATTCTCGAAGTTGCCTGGGAAAGGTAGTGGTGGTTTATAAGCCTTTAAGGGGGTGGTTTAAGCATTTAAGGGGGTGGTTTAAGCCTTTAAGGGGGTGGTTTAAGCCTTTAAGCCTCGAAAATGCAGGTAGCGCCCAATTTTACTATGTTTGTCTGATTGCATCGGGATATGAACGTACGTCGTACTGACAGGAACACTTACATACCATTCAGCCAGATGGGCGTCGTCGAACTGCACGTTTCTGTGGTGTGAACTGGCACGTAGGAACAGGATAGCTGGCCCTTGTACTGGTGGTTCAAACCATAGAGGGGCCCTTTTCTGCAGTTTGGACCATAGAGCGTTTGGTGGCCTCCATAGAGGGAGAAATTGCCCGGACGGTCGAGAGGGTCTGGCAAAGGAGAGCTTTGACAAGGTAGATGTCGGGGCAGTTTGCGCGAAAAGATGTTGAAATCCATGTACAACATTCAACCATCTCTAGAAGCCAGCTTCAAGCCACTTGACACTAGTTGCTCCATGGCCCTGGCTGGGATCCATAGAGGGACAATTGCTTGGACCGGCGAGGGTCTGGCAACAGAGAGCTTTGACGAGGTAGATGTTGGGGCAGTTCGCGCGAAAAGATGTTGAAATCCATGGACAGCATTCGACCATCTCTAGAAGCTAGCTTCAAGGCACTTGTTGCTCCATGGCCTTGGCTGGGATCGCACTGGCGCACGGGGCGGCCCCATGGGTCACTTCCGCCTTCTGGGCGGGAAAATCTGAACACCCTCCCCCCTCCCGCCCTCCCAGTTGCCCTGACCTGTATGGTCAGTTTGGTCATTTGTTTGCTGCGTTGCATGCTTAGTTCGCAGCACTTTTTGTTTTGTTTATATGTGTATTTGCTTGGATGTCGTATAAGGCCTTCATTAAGCACCCTGTGTTTGTTGTCCACTCTCTTTGCAATGTAGGTACGCGGGCCAGTCCAGTACATGCAGCAGCAACCGCAGGCGTTGCAGCAAATGTGGCATCAGCAGCCGCAAATGCCGACAGGGCAAGACGGTTCTCAGACGGGAATGGCTCCATCGGGCTAACATCTGGGTGTAAATTGCATATTGTTGTTATTGCTCCTGATGTCGCCTTGAGGCAGCCGGATGTTTGTGTGTTTGAGGAGCTTTGGAGTGGGAAGTGCAGGACCGGGATAGCCTGATAGGAGTCGGAGAAACATCCTGCTGGCCCAGAGAACTGCTGGTGGCCTGTCTGCCTGCCTGTTTCTGTGAAAAAATGCCGTCTGGATTTGTTGGTCATGTTGCTCTTATTTGGTCCCCGAAGATCGGTTTTGGAATGCGACGAATTCTGAGCGTCAGAGATTATGCGTCTTCCCTTACCTTTCCCTTCAATGAGGTCCTTGGTACGAATGGGACGAATAGCAGCAGCAGCACCAGAGGTTTGGTGCTTTAGAGGCTCAGTCGATCGATCGATAAGGCTACAGGCTGAGTGTTCCGGGCATCTCAGGGTGTTCGATTTCCGAGCAGCCGGTTCCTGGAGGAAGCCTGCTTTGTCGGGGATGGTGCGAATGTGGCAAGTATTTGGTAGTCCGGTTGGAGCTCTTAACAACCTTTGTACTTTTATGTGTGTGCATCAATCATTATGGGGGATGGGAGTGGGGCTAGGAAGGGATAAGGGAAAGAAGGGAGGGAGGGAGGGAGGGAGGGAGGGAGTTGTTGAAATGCTAGAGTGTGGGCGATGATAGGAGGAGGTGTTGAGGAGTCGTAGTTTCTCTTTCCTTCCCCCTCTTTTTCCAGAACGAATCATAAGGTGGGGGCATTGCTGGCAAAGCGAGGGGGGGGAGGAGGGGCAAGGGAGGGTAAACAGGATGGCCCCAGGGAAGAGGGGGGGGGGGTTGTGGGTGGCAAGGAAAGGACCCCTTGGAGGATGAGGGAGGGGACTTGTGCCGGTTCAGGATGAACAGCAGAGTGATCGTGCGGTCTTGTCCCCTGTCGTAGCATGCCGTGTATTCCTGGCAAGATCCATTTTGGACGACGGCTGGATGAACTTGCCCCCCCCCCCGGTGCCTCACCAGCCCGTTCGCATGTTCCTTGCCCTCGCCTAAAAGGAAGTCCATGTTCGTGTACTGCACTTGGTCTCTTGTCTGTGCAGGTTCATGGCATCAATATATTTCCTCTGCATTGCCCGTCTTGATGGGCAGCTCAGTGGCTGCTTTTTTTTCATCCCTGTTTTTCTTTTCACCCAGATTTGTGGAGTCGTGACCCAGTTTCTGCCGATGCCCATTCCTTGTAGTTTTCCAGGAATTGGTCTGGGGAAAGTTGTGGCTGATGTGTTTTGCTTCTTCCTCGCCTTCCCTCCTTTCTTCTTGAGGGTGTAGCTCTTTGCCCCCCTCTTTGATCTCACCCTCCCTACATCATCACCTGTCTCCTTCGGAGTGAGTACCTTCACTGTCCTTCCATGGAACATCTACCAAGGATCATCTGCAGAGGTCACCTTGGCTTTCTGCCACTCTTTCAAAGTGCTTGATGCGCAGGAATCGGCTTCTCACGGAGGTTGCTGTGCGATTCCAGCGGCAGTGCGGCATATTGGAGTGCGGCAATCTGGCGTCGGCAGAGCGGAGGAGTGCTGCTGAAGAATACGGCACAGGTGACGTGTGGCGGAGGAGTACTTTGTTGTTAATATTAAATTCTTTGTGACTGGTCGGTTCTGTAGCAATCGGGCTCTGGAGGAAATGGAGCACAACTCCTATCTGCAATCATTTCATTCTCCCAGCTAATTTCACTCCCTTGCATCTTTTTTTTGGTGACGCAACGTTTCTATGATGGGTCCGTTTACAGGATGACCACCATCCTTCTCTCTTTTGCTCACTTGCCCAATGGCAGTCGATCAGGCCAGATCGCGTATCCGTCCTCTCCCTG